AAAACGTCTACCCACTAGAAACTAGTAACCTCTATTTCCACCCAGTATCAGCATTAAAAGGTGGTGATATGCCCACACTAGGGAGGCAAGTGGTTGAGTTTCTGTATGAAGAAGGAATGAGAGGCTGAATGGGGATGGAGAATCTGCATAAGAAAAGAAGGTAGCTGGTGATTTAAAAGGGGAGGAAGAAATCTGTGTGGGAGAGGAAGCACGTTTGCTACCTCTGCTTTTTACACATTATCCTATGATGCAATTGTGACAGGTTTGGTCACAGAGACCCCCTTGGGACTGTTACCTGATGTGCTGAATTTGCCTCTGAGCCCATTTTCCCTGCCAGCTTGGGACTCCAGAACCCTGCCTTGTTGAGTCAGACATGCTAGTCAGCTGCAAACACAGACCCCGGTCAGGTCTATGCCCTCAAAGCTGCAGACTTTAAACAAAAACTGCTCAGCAGGTCACCTATCTCCAGCACCCAGACACCCAGTTCCCAATGGGATCCAAACCCCAAATAAATCCGTTTTACTCTGTATAAAGCTTATACAGGGTAAACTCAAATTGTCCGCCCTCTATAACACTGATAGAGAGATATGCACAGCTGTTTGCTCCCCCAAGTATTAATCACTTACTCTGGGTTAATTAATAATCAAAAGCAATTTTATTAAGTATAAAAATAGGATTTAAGTGGTTTCAAGTAATAACAGACAGAACAAAGTAAGTTACCAAGCAAAATAAAACAAAAACACGCAAGTCTAAGCCTAATACATTAAGTAATCGAGTACAAGTAAATCTCACCCTCAGAGATGTTCCAATAAGCTTCTTTCACAGACTAGACTCCTTCCTAGTCTGGGCCCAATCCTTTCCCCTGGTACAGCCCTTGTTAGTTCCAGCAGGCATCTTAAGTGAAAAGCAGAGGATTCCACATGACTGGGACCCCTTTGTTCTGTTCCACCCCCTTATATAGCTTTGGCACAAGGCAGGAATCCTTTGTCTTTCTCTGGGTTCCCATCCCTCCTTCTAAATGGAAAAGCACCAGGTTTAAGATGGATTCCAGTATCATGTGACATGGTCACATGTCCTGTGAGACCCCTAGTCTCCATTCTTCCAAGGCTGGCCAGCACGTACCCAGGAAGTTTTTCAAGTAAACAGAGCCATTTACAATCAATTGTCCTAGTTAATGGGAGCTATCAAGATTCCAAGCCACCATTAATGGCCCACACTTTGCATAATTGCAGTAGGACTTCAGAGTAATACTTCATATTTCTAGTTTTAGATACAAGAATGATACATACATACTAATAGGATGAACACACTCAGTAGAACATAAGCTTTGTAATGATACCTTACAAGAGAACTTTTGCATAAAGCATATTCCAGTTACATCATCTTATTCACACTTATAAACATATTTTTATAAAGCATATGGAGTGCAACATCACAGCAACATGGGATTCATCAGAGAGAAAGCAGATTGTACGGGAGAAGCAAATGTCTGATGGGGGACCGGTATCTTATCAGGGGTGTCTGATAGGGACTGATATGTATGAGATGCCTATATGAAACCAGAAGCCAGGAATGAACATGCCCACCCTTTCGTACCCCTTACAATTACAGAAATGCAGAAAGTCTGCTTGTAGTCCCATGCACTGCCCCAGGTTTGAGGTGAACTCTGTCCTCTCTCATCACCACACAAAACCAGTTTACTGAACTTTGGCAGGATCTCACTGATAAAGAGCTATAGAAGTTATATATAGATATACTCATGTATCAAGATGAGACCCTACCCCTTAAATTTTATCATTAAAAATAACAAAGATCATTTACTTTTGTACAACATGAAGCACAATAGGGCCTCAGTACCTACCAGGATCCATAGGAGCCCAATCAAAAACCCACTGAGACAATGGAAAGGCTGCCACTGACTTCAGTAATCTTTGGCTCATGCCAAAAAATAAGTAATACTGTAATAACAAACTGCCCTTCTGTCCTTGTTACCAAAGAAATCAACTTTCCAAGCTATAAAAAAGCATAGCATTCAAAGGAGAGACCAAGTGATAAATCAGTGCTCACAGGTGGAATATGAAAAATGCAATATCTCTAAAGATAGAAGATGTGTTCGAACAGAAATAGTGTCCATGCCATATCTAGTTTCTATGGCACTGAATTAGTTAATACAGTAGAGGGAAAAAATGTCATGAAATTTGAAAGAGTACAGAATAGTGGGGCTACTATAACAGGTTGAGTGGTAGGGTTCAAATTTGAGGGGAGGTTTGATAAAGTTAACAGTTGACTGAGTTAACTGTTTTCTTTCAAGACTCCATCAAGTACAGAAGTATTTAAATTAGCTAAGGGTTATTATGAAATTCAGCTTGATCTATTTAAAGTAATTGGACAAACCAGAACTAAGGTATATATGGTACATTTAAGTTAAGAGACAACATGTATAAGGAGAATTTAGAAGGTATTTTACAGAGAAAGTAATAAATAGGAGGAATTATTATTTATTTGTATTGTGGTAGTACCTAGGGGCCCAATTCAAAGAACAGGACCCCATTGTGCTAGGCACTATATGAACATAACAAAAAAAGCCTTGTCCCCATTCACAAAGAGCTTACGGTCTGCAGGACTGGTGCCTTAAAGATTTATACACATGCTTAATTTGGTATATTGAGCGTATTCCCATTTACTTTAATAGAACCACTCACAATGCATAAAGTTAAGCACATAAGTAAATCCTGGCAGGACTAGAGCCTAAATATAGGATCCAATTGAGGCAGCTAAGTCAAATATTATTAATATATTTAAGCAAAACTTGGGCGATTATGTGGAATTTAATGATTTTAAAGGGTATTAGTTTTGGCTCAGGGATAACTTACAGCATTCTAGGGGCTGAGGGTTTCCAGTCTGTTTATATGGAAATGCTTTTTGCTATCCCTCTGGCAGAAAATGTTAATGATTTATAAAGTGAAAAATACAAAAGTTTTTAAAAGTGTAAAGCTATTTAAAATACATAATATTTAGGCAAGAGGTGGCTGAGTAGTCATGAGTCCATTCCAGACACAGAGACTGGACTTCTTCTGGTTCTTTACTACCATATAACAAGAAGTGCTACTTCACACTTTTGAAATAATATATTGATAAACATTTCCAAAATCTATATAGAATTGTCTTATTTCTGAGCTTTACTTTAGTCAGGTTCTCACATACATTATATTGCCCCATGCTAAGCAGGGGGACGGCACATCAAATGTTCTTCAGAAGCTGTCTGTTGCTGCACTACCTTATGCCCTCATTCCAGGTTTTCAATCCATTCCCCCACCAACAGAAGTCACCTAGGACAGGAATATACTCTGTGTGCCTCCCTTCCATAACTCACTCCTTACAACCCCAAACCAAAGAGCATTAGAGACAATGGACAATTTCCAATCACTCAGTGAGCCTGAGATCAGGCCCTATGGGAGTGAGAATGGGAACATTATGTACATAGCATATAAGAGAGTGGCATTCTATCTACTTGTTCTTGTCATTGTTTCAATGGCTTCTCAGACATCATCTCAATAGTGCCCATTGCCGCTGCCTTCAAACAAGAAGCAAAGGCTGTAAATCAAAATATTACCTCTGTAACGATGCTGGTTCTGGCGGGACCCAACTGAGAGTGCCAATTCAGGACAAATTGCTGGAACAGGGCAGTTACAGCCCAAGGCTGGGGTTTTTCCACCTCTAAGGCAAACCAAACCAGCCAGACTAAGGGGACTTTGGTCTCACCCCATGGGCTAACCACAAGTCACACAAGCAATTCCCTTAGACACTCCAGTTTCCCAGTATCACCACCAGTGCCACTCGTTATGGGGACAAATAGTTATGAAAACCAATACCCCAGTAAAAGAAAAAAGGTTCTCTTGATCCCAAAGGATCAAGCCCTAGAACCACGTCAATATACAACTCAGATCTTACTCACAAATCACGCTGTTGCCAATCCTTTAGAATCTAAAATCTAAAAGTTTATTCATAAAAGGAAAAATATAGAGATGAGAGTTAGAATTGGTTAAATGGAATCAATTACATACAGTAATGGCAAAGTTCTTGGTTCAGGCTTGTAGCAGCGATAGAATAAACTGCAGGTTTAGATCAAGTCTTTGGAGTACATCCCCAGCTGGGATGGGTCATCAGTCCTTTGTTCAGAGCTTCAGTTTGTAGCAAAGTCCCTCCAGAGGTAAGAAACAGGATTGAAGACAAGATGGAGGAGAGGCATCAGCCTTTTATAGTCTTTTCCGGGTGTAAGAACACCTCTTTGTCCTTACTGAGGAAAATTACAGCAAAATGGAGTCTGGAGTCACATGGGCCAGTCCCTGCATACTTTGCTGAGTTGCAAGGCGTATTTGCCTTCTCTTAATGGGTCAATTGTATAGCTGATGGTCCTTAATGGGCCATCAAGCAGACTAGGCAGAGCTAACACCAACTTGTCTGGGAAGTCTCCCAGAAACATAGCATAAGTTTGAAATACAGACAGTATAGAGCCAATATTCATAACTTCAACTACAAAACTGATACACACATATAGACAGCATAATCATAACCAGTAAACCATAACCTTGTCTTAGACACCTCATTTGACCCCCTTTATACAAGATTTGGTGCCACTACAGGACCATGGTTGCAACAATGATCTATATGGCCCCAGATTATATCAATAATGTCACAACCTCAAACTAAAAAACTTAAGTAAATTTAAAAAATTGAGAGTTTTACTTTAGATAAGGTTTAAAAAGCAGTGTTAGGGATGTGAAAAACAGCAAGACCCGCCTGTGTGTATCAGATACATACAATAGTAGAATTTAAGGATATCATATTACTCATCTTTTTAAATGTAAGCTCAATGCAACGTAAAAATATTTTAACTCCCCAAGCGTTCATATCATTTACTTGATTATTTAAATATACCAATGAATAATTATTTTACTATTGAACAATAGTGAGGGAATTTAGAAAGAAAAGTTACTTACCCTTACTATATGTAGTAAACTGTTTCAGTACAGATCCTGAATCATTACCTACAAGTGAATACAGACAGAATTCAATCCAGGTGTTTTTAAACATAATTTTCTACTGCCAGACTGTTACAGCTTATTGTTATATTTGTATAACAGACTTTCGCAACACTCACTCATGTGCAGCGTTTCCAAGAAACAACCTGGCATTAATCATTTCCTATGGGTTTCCAGTTAGTCAGTCTGTGAGAAACAATTTAAAACATATTCATAAAATCCCATTTTTATTAACTATAAATGCAAGGTTAGCATGAGTGGTTTTAGTTTTCCTGATTACTTAAATACAAGCTATTTTACATTTCTAAAATCAATACAAATGACCAAAAGATCATTAATATCTTATCTCAAAAACTTGGTTCCTCAACTGTCTCTCACATAAAACTATGCCAAGCTCACTGCTTGAACACATGCTCTGTATCACCCTCACCGAGCTCCAACCTTCCCTGCCCCACAATTATTCATTCCTCCACAGACTATATTTCCTGTGATTTCTCTTCTGGTCACTCAGGGAACAGAAAGCCTCTCATCCAGTGACCAGTATATTTGCCCTCTCCCAGACTCCTGTACCCCACTGGTCTGGGTCTGTCACACATGCTAGATTTCTTTTTCCTAACCACTCAGAATCCTTCTTGATAACCCAAAAGGCCCTCTCTGATATCTTACTCCCAAACCTTCTCTGATTTGCAGCTGCAGGTATCACTCACTGCCTTTAACTGCATCCTCTAGCACGTTTTAGGACTACACAGGTCAAAACCAAACACCTGGAAATAAAATAGTATCTGTTGTGGACCATGGATCCAATGGTAGATTGGGATATTTCTATGGAGGATACCAATTAATAACCAAGCATCCACTTTCTGCCCTATGGGCAATTTCCTAAGGCTTGTAAGATGTAATCTCACCTGTAAAGCAAAGTGGACCACACTCTTGCCATTTTAGGATTCAGCCACATAGCTTTTAGCTTTCCATCCCCTGTCCCCACCTACATCTCCTATCCTCATTGTTGTGCTTCAGTTTCTATTATTGCAGGAAGGCTTTTTAATGAGCAATAGGGTAAGTATTGTCCTAAGTTCCAAAAAACAGCAAGTTAGATGGGTGATTATTTAAAAGACAAAGTCTTTTAGAAATAATACTCTAGAAATAACAATGGGGCTGCAGTGAAGGTAAGAGAGAAAATTATGTTGAAGGCAGCGCCGGTATGGGGAAGAGGGGAAGAATAAGGGGGGGGGAGTTAAGGTGACCAGATGTCATGATTTTATGACAGTCCTGATATTCAGGGCTTTTTCTTATATTGGAGCCCATTACCCCCTACCCCCATCCCGATTTTTCACACTTTCTATCTGGTCACCCTAGGGGAAGTAGAGAAAGGAAGGTGAGAGTTTTGGTAGTGACAAAGTGACAGAAGAAGTGTGAGGGGTGTAGGCCATAAAATAGGAGTACCTAGACACTCAAGACTACAGCTCAGCAGATGCTGTGCCAGTTCTCCATCAAAGGCATACCTGCCTCCTCCCCTCACAATAGATCTGTCACAGATTGTCAGTAAACCACCTAGACCTATGTGGATGATGTGGAGAAAGAGCAAGGCGGTTGAGAGGCAGTGCATCAACACTTGAGGTCTTCTGGGCACAGGACAAACCACTGCTGCGTCCTAAATTGAGTGTAAGGAAATAAAAAGGTCTTATTTAGCCTCTTCAGGCAGGGTACTAACTGCAGGAGACTCATTTTGCACCAGCTGGTGAGTCACTGGTGACAAGTCAAACAATAGTCCCATCTTCCCGCCGGGGGGCTCTAGCAAGCAGGGAACAGCCTCTCAAGCTGTTCCTGGCCCCAGCCAGGCTTCTCTCACAGAATGGGGTCCACGCTCCTTCATACTCAGATCCCACCAGAACTGTGCTCTCCCCCTTTTAATCCCTTCCTCTAAGCCTGACAGCAGGTGTAGCAGGGTGAGGCTGATTCAGCCCACAGCAGCCTTCCTGGTCAGTATGGAGTTTGTACAACTCATCACAACTTGTCATTTGCATGGTCATTAGTTTTAGGCCCGGAACCACAAAGGTACTCAGATACCCAACCTTCAGATTAAGGCACCCAAACCTCATTTTTAGGCACCACTGTGATCCACAAAACCATTGCTCAGCATCCTGGTAGACACCTGAACTCACTCCACATCTAGGTTTTACAATAAAAATTCCTAGATGCCTGTTTCCACCTCTGAGCATGTGTGCTGCTGCCTCCCTCTAGGCATCTGGACATTCACCTCCCACCTAAGCCCCAGTGTGATCCCTGACCTGGGGGAAGACAGGTGCTTCTCCACTAACTCACCTAGACAAAAAGTACCACCATTCCTCCTTCCCCCTAACCCTTTCATAAAGAGAAGGTACAAATTTGCATCACAGTTTATAATCTGGATTGAGATGACATGATGAGATACAGAAAAGTTAGCCTGAGGGTCCTTGTGATGAGGTATATAAGCCACACTGGAATAGCAGGGGTTAAGAAGCAGTTCTGGGCCCAGATTGATCTGCCCCACTGCACTTGCAGAGCCTGCTCCAGCGGAAGAAGGAGCTGAAAAGGGAGACAGACAGCTCAGAGGGGGGGGAGGGAGAAACGAGACAAGACAGGGACAGTAAAGGCAGAGAGACCTCTCTTGGGAGACCCTGAATAAGGTATAGCCAGAGCCCTTACTGCAAGTGGCAGCTATCCCAGGCTCTGGAGGAGCATCCATGGAAAGGATTCCAGTGAGAGGTAGCTGGGAGCTCTCGCTCTTGGGCTGAAAACTGAGAGAAGCCTTGGAGGCTGACTGGAGATAGGGGCTGATCTGGGACTACAGCCTGCCTGAAACCCAGGGTAGAGGGACAGTGGCAGACCCCAGGTGATGACAGTGAAACCAGGAAGCTAGACCAGCATGAAGCTGGGGCTAGCATGCAAAGAAGGTGGCTACCAGCTGAGCCAAAGATTCAGTTGTTTTATGCTATTTCTTCTTGGACTTTAAGACCTGGAGGGGAAGTGGTAGGAAGTGGCCCAGGGAGGCAGCCCCAAAGCACTCCAGAGAGTTTGTTATCACTGCCTCTCATATAGCCCTGGGTTGGAGTCTTGTGGAGAGAGAAGACCCAGGCTTCCCTACAACCCTACCCTTTTGGTGGAAAGGGCTTAAACCCCTTTCTCCCCTTCCTTGGAGAGGATGAAAAGATAGACACATTGTAAGCCCTGAGGCAAGGGCATGCCACCCACAGGATAATTACAAACAATTATTCAAAATATGTGAAGTTTTCATAGAAATGTTGATTAAAAATAATGTTTTTATAAATTAAAAATGTGTTAACTAGTTCCTGTCATGTATTTAGTGGGAAATCCTAACATTAAAAACATATCTAGACTTCTATATCTATTTTTTTTTTCAAAATATGTTTGTTATATAAAACTCTATTTGTTTTGCTGTTTAGATGTATGCCTCTCAAATGAAGCCAACAGCTGTTGCAGAATGCAAGAAGCAAACAAAGATGAAAGAGATCAATAGGAATCCATTTCACTGGAAGGTGATTGAGGCAACAGGTGGTTAGAAATATGCTGGAATAAATTCAATGCATTCTACCCCTTTCAACAGCATTTTGGGTAATATTAGTCCATCATTTATAAGTATTTCACCTGTCTGAGTATTAATTTTTAACATCTAGTCAACAATACATTATGGAGAAACCAGTATCAGCTATACAGTTGCTAAAATAAAACAGAAACATGTTTTTACTTTGTAGATCAGGAAATTAGAAATGAATTTGCAAGTGTGATAAATAGAATACTACAAAAAATAGGCAATAATGTAGTGGCATTTGAAGATAGATTGGAACAGAGCACCTATTGGAGACTGTTGTTACTATTAGGGAACAGCAGAATAATACCATGCTGAGGTTTAATGATGGGACTCTTGAGAATACAGTGTGGGAAACTGCAAAGTACAAACTCCATTTATCCAGCAGGCTTAGAAGGATCGGAGATCAAATCCTCCTGTCTGTATGCTTACTGTTATGCTGGGCCCACCTATACATTCAAAATAGGGATTCTGACATGCTTTATAAACCTTGATCATTTATCTCTCATTAGTGGCTGTTTGCGGAGAATATCCCAAGCTGGATGCATTAAGCTTCCAGACAAATTTTTTAGCCCAAATGCTTCTCTAAACATGCCTTTTTTTAAATAACCACATTGGATACGAAGTGTTAGGTGAGATAATTTAGAAGAAGAATTTAAGAATTAATGGAGATATCCTATCTATCTCCTAGAACTGGAAGGGACCTTGAAAGGTCATTGAGTCCAGCCCCCTGCCTTCACTAGCAGGACCAAGTACTGATTTTGCCCCAGATCCCTAGGTGGCCTCCTCAAGGATTGAACTCACAACCCTGAGTTTAGCAGGCCAATGCTCAAACCACTGAGCTATCGCTCCCTCCCCCCCCCCGACAAAGGAAGCCTCAATCAATTAGACCCTTTAGCCAGACCAGGAATTGAACCCCCGTTTTCCAAGTGCAGGTCTGGTGCCATAACCACAAGGCTGTGCTTCCTCTCTATAATCAACAGAGACAGTGATCCAATTTTTAATAACTTCATAATAGGTCTGTGTTTGTTTCACAACATCTGGAACAATTTAACATTGTTTTTTTCCTGTTGTTTCTGGCAGTCCCTTACCATGACATCTTTAATCAGTTATACAGGAAAGAAAACAACATAAGTAACTTAGGGTATGTCTACACTACGAGAGTAGTTCGATTTTAGTTAAATCGAATATGTGCAATCGATATTAGAAAGTCGAACGTGTGTGTCTACACTAAGGACAGTAATTCGACTTTGTCAGTCCACAGTACCAGGGAAAGCGTCGACATTGGAAGCAGTGCACTGTGGGCAGCTATCCCACAGTTCCCGCAGTCCCCGCTGCCCATTGGAATTCTGGGTCGAGCCCCCAATGCCTTCTGGGTAAAAAATGTGGCGAGGGTGCTTTTGGGTAACTGTCGTCATCCGTCAGTCACTACCGCCCTGCCTC